CGAGGTGTTAGATGTGATTGGGAAACGATTGGCAGTACCTTTGAATAATGGAGACAAATTTTCTGACGTTGGAAAAGCATGGGCATCAAAATTGAGAGATCTCAATCCACAGCAAGCGGTGCATGAGGAAAAATTAATAAATGATGTTTTCTACGAAGCACAGTTGGAAAACTTGAACCGTAGTTGTCGCCTACAAACTAAGCAGGAAAATTCAAGAATAATTCATCCTCCATTCGTGTCTCAGCTCCCATTCAACAGTCAGCCTTCAATAAACACGCAACAGTCATTACACTCTCAACCCTGGTTCACCACTAAGCACCAATTCAAAGTTCACCAATCATTGTTCCCTCAACCCTCATTTCACATTCCCAATATGCAACAAGAAGAAAAAGCGCTAACACCTAACCATCAAGCGACTTCACAAGTTTTTAGCAACTACAATGACTGTATGGATGAAGCAGCTTAATTGTATAGAATTTTTTTGAACCTACTCTTTACATTGAAGATCCAACTTATTAAGTTCATTAATAAAAAAATATATCTCTATTTTTTTATTTATTTTTTTGTATTATCAATACTTAAAAACTTACCTTTAGATATGTGCTTTTTAATGCCCTGTAAATTGCGTCACATGTTTCGGGAATTAAATTACTCAGAGCTGGCTTGGAAATAACAGTGAAAAATTTCAAGTCTTTGTAGCTTCTTCCTGTTGACAAAAATCTGAGTATAGCTGATAATCGTTCGTGGGGGGTAATCGCACGTCTCATAACGGTGTCTGCTCTCGAAATAATTGGCGTAATTAAATTTAGCAAATGCAGGTAGGTGGCTTCGTCCATACGTAAGTAATTACGAAAATCGTTAGGATCATTGCGTAATTCCGCTATTAAATTCGTATGAGACAATAAATTCCTGTTCAACAACCAGAGTTTACACCATTTCCTTTTAGTTTTTATGCTCATCTTTTTTTTAATTACACACACTGCAGCCGTTGCAAGAATTAACTCTTCGTCCAAATGTTCCATCTTGTCGGCAACAATGAACGTTTGGGTGCTCTTCCTTCACAACTGTGTAAAACGTGTGACGAACTGAACGTGTAAACGCCAGATTTTCGTTCAGTTCATCTGCACAGATCTGGCTTGCGCAAGCATAGAGTAAGTACAATAAGAGAGGTGGCAATCATATGGGGGTCCTTGTTACCGCATTACGCAGGTAGCGCTGCAACTGGCTGACCGGCGACTGACGGCACTAAAATTGATCGGTCGAGTTAAAATAATTTCATATTTCTACTACCTGTACGGTATTAATACCTACAAATAACATTTACTGTCGAGACGTAAGTATTG